CTGCAGCTGAAATTAACATGACTGGGACAGTGTTCTTTTCCAGTAACCACAGTGTACAATCGCCATGTAAGGTGTTTTGCTGTGAACTAGCCATGTACCAATGAATATAATGTCTGTGAGGAATCTGACAACACTATTCTACTATTATTCTACAATTCTACTTTTGTGTCTGAGCTGTCATGATGTTAATTAGCAGATGACTGCTTACCTATTGCTTATCTCACTAACCTAACTATTGAGGTTAAAATAGTAAACATTGAATATGGGTTTTGTAAGCCTGACTTTAAAAAAAATACCAGTTTTGTAAACTTGGATTGGAACTTAGTGCCCAGTATGTTTCTAGTGGAATGAAGAATACTATCCAAACAGGTAATTAAATGAGCAGTCTTTGGTTCAAAGTGCCATTTAAAAATACAAGGTGTTTTTATGAATTAAGCTTAAATAAGTCAGAAAGTTGCCCTTCTGGAATTTGGTTGCATGTGGACAAGATGGCGTTTTGATACAGCATCCATGCTGATGTGGTTCCAACCCACTTCTGTAGACTTCCCAAAATGTTTTTGTGTGAGACAGTACCCATTAGTCATGGTTAATGACTAATGAATGAGCAGTGTAGGTGTCTTAGTATTACATATACTGTTCTCTATACTGCTTAACAGTGAAATTTAGTGCTTTCAGAGGTATGGGGGAGAAATACACATTCTTTGGTTACAGATGAATCTGTGCTCTTGGTCTTCATGAGTGCTGCCTGAATGCAGGAAAAAAGGGGGTTGTGTACAGAAAGAGACATTGATCTTCATCTAAAAATCTGCATTACATTTCCTACTGAAGACAGTAATTTGTGTTAAACTATTTTCCCTCAGAAGTCATCTTGACTGTAGCAGATCATCAATGCTGATATTAACTACTTATATCAGTTTGTCACTTATTGGCTTCTTAGTGGTGTTCTTTTTTGTCAGATAAAGTTGTTCTGTGTGGTGCTTAAATTGTTCTAGCTGGGACTGTTGGAACTGCTTTCCTGCTCCCAAATTTAGGTGCTTTTACTCACAGATTAGTATCAGGATGAGATTCCAGGATCAGGAAGAGGTGTTGCAAGCTACTACCCTGATACCCAGTTTGGATAAGGAGAGAGACAGTGGGGGCAGCCCTGCAACACAGTTTCACTTCAAGACTTAATGCAAGGACTTCTGTTGGCCCAAGTCAGAACAGCTGGTTTTCATTAACACTGAATTGCTTGAAGTCAACTAAACTTTTAGCTCCTTTCCCTAAATATTGCTTATTATCTTCTCTCTCTCCTCTGTGGTTTTTTTTTCTTCAGTTCTCATGCTGTGGTAGTACTTAATTCTGGTTTAGTTTTCTGTACTGCTAACAGTTTAATTGCACAGGATTTCAGTTTTAATTAAATGTGGAGATTTTGAGCAGCTACAATTTTATTGAGATGTATGCAGACACAAAAACCCTAACCCATGCTCTTTCATAATTTATTTATTGGTATAATGTCTAATAGTTCCACAAGAGGCAAAAGATAAACATCATTTAACCCAGGAACAGGAAGAAAAATCAATTTTTACAGATCTATTCCCCTCCCCCTTTTTCCGACTTAGATTCTTAAGAACAGAAAGGTTTAGCCACAAGAACAATGATATGAGAAGATAATGTAGCTCACAATGAGAAAGAAACTGTATTATGCAATGGCAGAGCAAATACCTCAATTTTGTTGAAGTAACACAAGAGAATGGAAGAGAATCACTAGAAATTGCTCAGATAGGTATTTTGTAAACATCAAATAACCATAATTAGTTCAGAGCACTTTATACTTTCACCTACAATAGTTAACTGATTTAAGTGTGTCTTGAATAATGCTTGAACCTTAATACCAGTGAAATGGTAAGAAAATTAAATGTTCTCCCATTCTGAAGCAACACACACTCCAATCACAATCTACGACAATGTTCTAGTCCCTTCCTGTCTCAGTAAAACGAGCTGTGGTGTAACCAGGTTTGATCTCCACACTGTCACAGAGGGGGTGGATCAGCAACTGCCCTGTCTTGCATTTGAATAAATACATACAACGGTAATTCAGGTGTCAGTAACACTTCAACACTGGATCTGCCCTTCATTACATACATACCCTAAAACTGCAAGGTTATTTTGAACAGCCATACATTAGCACAAACATGCAAGTTTAAAACCAAAAAGAAGCTGAAGTTTAAAAACCAAGCTTGAGAATCAGTAACTTTTGCCTAATTAAAGGATGATCAAAAGAGATGTAGCAGTGGAAGCTTGAAAGGATGTTGATTTGTTTCCCTAAATTCAACACTATTGGCTCAATTTTTCCTTAACAGCAGCACACAAGGAAGCACAGGAAACAGAACTTGTGGTCATAGCCGCTTGTGTTATTGTTATTACTGTCAAAATTTTGATGACTATCCATTAACTGAATATTCAAATCCATTTTTTTTTCTTTAATAAGAACTACAGACATATTAGAAGCTGATGTGTTTAAGTAAAGCTGAAAAGGTATTAAACATACACAAATTTGGTATACCAAGGAAACTAAGAAATCTAAGTGACAACAGAAGCAGCACTAATAGCAATCTTCAGGTGAAACAACACAAAGCTGTGTTTATCGGGTGAAAATACTTACCATTTAAATTCTTCAAACCAAGCATGTTGCTTATATAGTCTGGATGCAGATAGTTTTCTCAGGTAAATGTTTTGTTGGTAACTAGCTTAATGAGGGGTGTGAATGAAAACAAGATATTTCATTTTATGCAGCTAAAGTGCTTGAATGACTGTTCAGACGTCACCCTAAGAAAATTACACTTGCCAATCCTGATAGTGCATTATATGAGCTTCTAAAACATCTAGTAGTGGGGTTAGTATGCACTGTTGACTAATAACTAGACAATCTTATTCTCATACAGTTGAGCAGCATAGCGTGGTCTCACATGACTTTTAGCTGCACAAGGAATACAAAAGCAGGCACTAGCTGAACACTGCAGGCATTGGGCTAGGTCACTGAAGAGCTAAAATCAAATCTCCCACCAGCCTGCAATCACTGCAGTCATGCCCTATGGCACTGGCAAACTGTCATGGTGACTGGATGGCCAGAACTCCACGTCTGTGCCTCGGTCTCCCTCGTAGCAGCCTTGCTGCCAGGCTGCTTCCTGAGGGTCTCTAGGTTTACTTTCTCTTACAGGGCTCCTCCAGGGCTGCACAGCTCTATGAGGCGATAGGGAATTCCTCTTCCCTTCCTTTGGTGCCATTTCCCTGCCATCGCCATTCAGGACAGCAGGTACGTTAAAAGGTTTACATCTGGGTATTGCTTAAACTGCCACAGCCTGAGGAAACAGCCTATGTCTTCAGTGTAAATACATATTTAGGCCTTTAATGAGCTCTTTGGTACTGATGTCATCACTGCTACTTCTGACTGCATTTACAAGAGAAAGTGAGATGGATCAGCTCTTGAAAGGAAGGATGTAAGTGCCCAAGCTGCAGAAGGGCCTGGCCTAAGAAATACAAGTGGCACAAGACATTTGATGTTGTAAAATGTGCAGGGTTCCAGGTCTAATGAGGCTTGACTGGCTAGTATTCATCGTTTGCTTTTTATGCATTAATTCTTAATTACTGTTCTAAGATGCGTACCCTCCCTGTGTATTATATTAGGTACCCAGGCCTCTAACCATAGACTCAAGATCCTAGCTTAGGGACTAGGCCTTCAAATTACGGAGTGCAATGTTGGATTTACAGGCATCAGTATCCTCTGCTGCCCTTAGCCTCGAGTCTTTTTTCCTGCGAAACTACATGCAACTTCTGTGATACACAGATGCTCTCATGTTATCGTCTTTAACCCTCCCTGAATGAGTACTGTGTCTTAATAAGGATGATCAAATAGAAAAAAAGATTGAAAGTGATAAATATTCCAGTAGCTGTATTTTATAGCCACTCCACCATAAATAACAAGTTGAACATAGCAAGATTTGAAATGACATATTTCAAGTGGGCTAGCTTCTGTACAAAGAGACCATCTGTCTTCTCATTGAACTCTTAATTGACTAAAATACATACTAACACAAATGTAAAAAGATGTCAGAAGTAGGACCAGAACCGAGGTCTGGAGTTTCTACCACTGATGAATAAGAACACTTCCTTTGTTCAAGTAAAAAAAGTTTTCTTTACATGCAACCGAAATTACCTGCATAAATTTCCAAGTAATTTGAACTGGCATACCCACATATTCCTATTACAAAGCAATTAAAAAAGTGTTCTCAACTCTCAAGGCAAAGTTTTCATGATATAATTAGACTCATTATTACAGTGTACAATAGTAATGATTTTGACACCACATTTTCTATTTACTAGATATAAAAGCATTAATCTGCTTACAGATGTCCTACATGACAAGAGGAAGTAATTAGTCATTAAACAAGACTACCAGATTTTGTTTTTTCTTGTTTTCCAGTATTACCACTGAAACATTAAGATAAAAATGGTGTCAGAACACTTTACAGAATGAAAGGGTAGCCTCAAAATTATGCACCCTATACAAACTGCTAATGAATAAAGGGTTAAACTTGCGAGTGCTAAATGCCACAACTGCTACTGGGACTAGCAGGACAAAATCAGGTGCACAAGTACTGTCAGCATCTGCAGAATCTTAAGGTACATATCACAGATGTGCTGTGAATATTCTGCTGTTTTTCAAGCTACAATATAGTGCACAGTTGAGACTCTAGGAAACAAACACTACATGAGTCTGAGTTAGCATTTAATATTTACAGCAATCTTACAAAGCCTAATGTTTGTAGAAACTGAAATTTACTGCACAAGAATAATGCAGTAGAAGATAACAGCAAACACTGTTTACCTTCCATAGGTACTCTTATTTTTCTCTGTACTGTTCAGTTACGTCTTGGTAGCATCAAAATCAGATGATTCAGTGTTAATTAGCATCTTACCCTGCTTAGGAGTGAAATGTTCTGGTTTCTCTGAGTTTGTAACTATTTTGACAGAGTAGAAATCTCTTCTGTTTTCATAGCATCAGACAGGAAACTCAGTTCATTGCACAGTGTCTCATACCTGAAGGCCATCCGGATCTGTGCAACATTTGTCTTCCGAATGTCATTTCCCTCAGGCCCTTCTTTATAGTAATTCAGCCCTAAGAATTTCTGTTTTTCCTGTGAACGGGATTAAATATAAAAAGGAAGAAATCAGTTCAACTACCTTGATTTATTGTATAACTGAGTATTTTTTAGCTGAATGACTCCAGTGCAAAGGACAAGAGCAGCTTCAACCAGCTGGTTACTGAACTTTACTTCAGAGTCCTAGCCAATTTGGGAGATTTGAAGACCAAAGTTTATATATATGAACTACTCAGTGCAGTACTCCATCTGGCTTGCTAAAACCCTTTCTGGCTGTGTTCAGTCTTCACTACTAGATCTTTCATGTGAGAGGTCAAAAAGAGGCTTAGGATTCTTTTGCTGGTTTACCGTTGCACAAGAAGAAACTTAGTAGTTGTCACTAGAGAATACTGGATGAAACAACAGGTAATACTTCTAAAGCCTCTTCGCAAACCAGCTCCTCAAGAGGAATGTTTGTAAATGTCAAAGAAGAGGATGCCCTGAAGTCCTAGAGAGAGCCAGGGATGTATAGAATTTTAAAGCCAAAAGGGAATTTAATATTAATCTGACTGCCTATCTAAACCATAATATTTTCTGTAGTACTCCCTACATGTTTTGCTTATGATAAGCAGTTTCTTTTTACTCAGTGCAAGACATGATGTAGAAAACTACTGGCAAAGGGATATTGCCCAAATAATAAAAGATTTGCAACTGGAGGCAGAACTGAGTTTTAATAGGCACCTGGTCTCTCTGCATGTTTTGAGAATTCCAGAACAAAGCTAATGAGGGAAAAATGTAACATTAATACTTTTTTTAATGTAAGACTCATAGCAAATAGTTTGTGAATATTTCTGGAAAAAAGGATAGAGATGTGCACCAATACATCACACAAGCACCTAATACTCAATTCCCAGACTACTGACGTCTCAGTTCCTACTTGCCTTACAATTCAGGGAAGAGATTTTTTTTCAGCTGTGATTACCTGATCTGACAATCCACTCTGTAGCACGCTGTTTCTTGCTATTTCACACAAGTCACAAGTACTTAGTTTCCACACCTGGGCTGCAATAGCATATTCTTCCATGAGAGCTTCCTGTATCACCAAAATATGTTTAACATTAAATTCAATGTAAATAAGGTGTAAATGGGGATATGTAGTCATTGCTAACTAAGGAATTTATACATGCTCTTTATATAGCTGTGAAAAATTAGAGGTTTAAGACTTAAACATCACAATTAGTACTGAACAGAATTGTTTATTTCAAATTTCCAAAGGGCAACTGTCAAATAATTAAGAGGCACTGGGTATGTAGTTATCTTAGTCTAAAAAATCACAGCCTGCAGTCCTGATCCTTAAAGGCATTTCTTAGGCAATTTCAAATGAGAACCCAGGGTATATAAACACCTTGGAGGATCTAGTCATAAATCTGGATTATGTACATAGACAGCAGGGCAATTTCTCACTTCTGACCTTCCAGACAAGGAGAGTTGGGTCTGACTCGAGTGGGCTGTCACAGCCGAGGACCTTCCACACTATGTGTAACTCGGCTGGTGCTGCATCACATCCATGCACAGAGCCCCCACAGAAGCTCACTGTCTCTTCTAGCAGAGACCTGTCATGGGCCAGAAGCAAGCCTGGGTGAAGCACACCACAGCTCAGCTTTTCCTCAGAACACACATGAGCAATGTACAGGCCACTCTAAGGCACAGTGTGACTCAGGTCAGTGCCCACCACAAAATTGGGGCATCGAAAAACAGTGACCAGGCATTTCTGTCCTGCTAGGCCACCCAAGGGTAAGAATCAGTTTCAGTTCACTGAGCAAACAGCTCATACGTCATCTTCAGAGAGTCCACATCGTGGTTTTGTAATGTACTTCCCCAGATTTGTTAGTAAGGAAACTGGACTTTCCTGGCTCTCTAGAGGATTGTTTATGAAGGCTCAAACCTCCCTTCAGCCTCATCCTTCATTCTATACTTCAACAGCCAACACTGGAGAGGCAAGAGTACAAAAGAAACATAATTAGGAAATCAGACATTTCCCTCTGAAACCTAACAGTGAGTTCTAAGACTGAGAATGAGGAAGAATAATGAATGATGTGACTGCAAGACATGAAACTTTATATCCTAAGCAATGATATAAAATAGCTTTCAGGTCATTCTGTGTCTGTGTGGTACTGTTGCCAAATTCAAAGCCGAGTGCTTCTTGCATTTCTTACCTTTGTATAATGAAACTGCATAGGATCATCTGTGGAGAGAGAGACATGAAGTCCCTTATGTAGAAACTCCCGTAGTGGATTTTTTGAGTACTCCAAGAATAGGCTGTTGTTACTAAGTGGAGACATAGCAATGGGTATTTGTGCAAGATAATATAGATACTGGAGGACAGGACTCTGCAAAAACAAAACATAGTCAGCATTTAATGGTACTAGGGGATAGCAAAAAAAAAAGGATTTCCGTTGGATAAAATGGAAACAGCATTACTGAGGGAGGACTAAGAACAAAAAAAACCCCCAGGTTGACACTAAACTGACTTCTTTAAAAAATACTTTAGTCTGAATTTCAAATGTTACTGTTCTTTATAAAAGTAATTTACATTATTGAACATATGTCATCTTTTAAAAATATGGTAACCAATATTACTGTAGACAAGTGACCGTCAAGACATGTCAAGACATGTGACTGTCAAGGGCACTGCATTTGATACTAACAGCATACTTTCCCCCAAAACCTGGAAGTCACAGATAACTTATGTTGTGGTTTGAGGCTTGGAATGGTGGTGTGACCTTCCAGCACCTGGGAGGGCCCCGGGTGGGGGTGAACCATTGTATTCCCTCCCCTTCCCACACACCCTCTGATAAGAGGCAGCGAGTGGGTGCTAACTCCACTCCTGCCCTGTGGCTCTGGGGTCGAGTGCGTGTTTTTTGCTCCATGGGACCCTGGAACTATTTCTGAGGGTTTCGTATATTTTGTTTACTTTTGTAATTCCCCTAATCTTTGTATATATTTTTTCTTACCTCCCTTTTTTCGTTTTCTGTTCCTTGTTAAACAATATACTTCATTTTTTGTTCATTTAACTCCCAATCAGTTTTTTTCCAAAATCTCTCTCTCTGGGGGGGGGGGAAGGGGAGTACATAGTTCTGTTCTGTGTGGGTCCTGCCCTGAACCCCTTTTTACACAGAACCAGAACAACTTATTTTCAAAATGTTGACATGCAGTCCAATAGATAAAATTTTAGGAGCAGAATAAGTTTTAATTTATTAGAAGTCATAAATAATCTGTACTCACCTCATCTTTATTACTATTTTTGGCTTAACCACCTGGTGAATGTAACAAGTGCCATTATTATGACCTGCTATGCCAGGTTACTGCACTAGGCTAACCAGGAGAGAGTGAGGAAGAGAATGCTTTGGTCACAAACAGCCTTAGTCCCACTCTGTCTGGGTCTAATTTTAGGAATTACTGGTTCTAAGCACAACATCAGACATGATTTTAGACAACAGTTTTCTTTCTTGGATATGTTGAAAATTACAGAAAGAATTTTCCAGCGTTAACTAGAAAATCCATCCTGTAAGAGAACTCTTTCCAACAAATTAAACTCAGTACGAGTCTGCCACCCACTGACCAATTATATTTTAAATACAGAACAGTGGCCTGCGGATGAGGTATGTGATAGTTTTTATTAAGTGATATGCCAGGAATTATAATGTTTGTCCTGTCATAACAATCTAATTGTATACAAAATATTGCTGTGTTATACAGCTATGTTAAATTTGTTGGCCAAGTGATCCTTGTTACTCTAGGTAGAAAAAAATCAAAACCTTAATGAACTTCTGAATGAATGTTGAAGTACAGAGAGATGCCAGTCAGGGAAAATTACCTTTGTCCCGGTACAGTAGAAAGTAAGAGCTTTCCTTAAATTCTTCTGGGACCTAAACCAAGTAGTAGTAATAAATCTAAGCAGTTTTTTCAATGTCATTTTAGCTCTGCTTGGAGTAACCAAAACCAGGTGCCACTAAGTCCTTGATGTATCTGAACAGTATGAACAGTCTTCCCTATAAAGACATAGCTTTAAAATGTTCACTTAGGATAAGCTGTATTTTTGTAGCTTAAATAAGAAACGGGAAGTTCAGCTAAGCTTATTTAATTTTTAAGCTTTATTTATTTAATAGAACCATAGAATGGTTTAGGTTTAGGACCTTAAAAATTATCTATTTCCAACCTCACACTAGACGAGGTTGCTCAAGGCCCCATTCAGCCTGTACTTGAACACTTCCAGGGATGGAGCATCCACAACTCTGTCCAATCTGTTCCAGTGCCTCACCACCTTCATAGTGAAAAATTTCTTCCTTATATCTAACCTAATTCAACTCTATTCCAGTTTAAAGCCATTACCCCTCATCCTATCACTACACTCCTTGATAAAACCTCCCTCCCTCCTGGAGCCTTCTGTTTTCCAGTCTAAACGACCCCAACTCTCTCAGCTTGTCCTCATAGGGGAGGTGCTCCAGCCTTCTTACCACGTTTGTGGTCCTCCTCTGAACCCACTCCAATAGGTCCATGTCCTCCTTATGTTGGAGCCCCCAGAGCTGAATGCAGCACTTCAGGTGGACTTTCTGATTAAACTGAAGAGTTACTTGTGCCTTGCTAAGAAAATTAATTTTGGGCTGCCCAGATAAAGTCAGTTTGACTGCTGTTTGAATCAGTGAATGATGTCTAAGCACATAGTGACTAGATTCAGTGAGCAATCAAGCAGTACCTTCTTCAAGAGTAATCCATGAGAAATGTTGTCTGCTGTCAGAAAGGCTGATACAAGGTGTGTGATAGACCCAGCTTCTCCACAGTGAGGTCGGAACAGGAAAGTACACATGCCTCTTTAAACTTTCCCTGAGGAGATTAAAAGCAAGCTCCACTAACCAAAAATGCACTGCTTTTCATCTCTGTATATAATCATAATTCATATGGGAATTAAAACAATAAATTACACATTCTCATACAATTTGACATGATATCTAATCTGGCATACCCATGGGCTGCTGTCAAAAGGGGCATGTCCCTCTACTCAAGCCCCTTCCACCACCTGACATATTTGTGTTTTCTTTCCTTCCCCAATTACATCTCATTTAGCAATCATTTAGCTACTGGGTGAACAGTTACCGAGTTCAGCTGAGGGAAATGGCACATGGAAAGCTAAGTGAACTGATCCAACCTATGGCTGCATGATTCCTAGATTGAAAACGAAGGAAGCAGTGGAAGCACATTGCCAAGAGCTAGCTGACAGTACCCAGTGTGATGACAACCTGCCTTCTCACCAGGTTAAGTGTGGCATAAAACCACATCCTCAGCAGTACAGAGATGAGCAAGGAGTGATAGTTATTACACTAGACTCCACAGTATAATTTCTAGAACTATTTTATCATCTGTATTAAAAATGCTCTGGGTTTTAGGTTATATGCACTGTTATTCAGTGCAGACAAATGCCATGGAAGTATTTGGAGATGTTAAAACTAAATAATTTCAACAAGGACGTGCTAGAGTATAAGGCAGTCCTAGGATGGAAGTTTAATAATGTTTCTCCTGAAAATGGATGTGAGGATGTAATCTATCCTTGCTGACTTCACTAATACAACCAAAAGTATAAAACGGTCTTGTAATGGGCTGGCTGTGGTGCCTAAAATACTGTATGTTTAACAGGGTGAACAGTTTTACTCGCTTACTGATGAATTGTGTCATTATCTCACCTAGCTGTAAAGGATATTTAATGATTATCTAGGGAGATTTTTCAAACAGTAGTTGAAATGATCTTGAGGTAAGAAGAAATGTGTAAATTCTGACAGAATATCTGTCCTTTGAAAAGAAAAAAAGTAGACTACAAAGAACATAAAGGAAATCAGGAAAAAGGGATGACTGCTGTATTGTGCCCTTTCCTTACAGAACTAAAACTAACATCTAGGCCTGTTTGTTGCAAGCTAAACGTAATTTAAGGTGGGCGGTTTTATTATGAGTTGTGCTTATGTAGGATGGTAGAGAAAGAAATGCAGTGGGAGAGAAGAAGTAACATTTTGAATATTAACTTGGATAAGACCTGTTAGAATTACAAATCTGTGCACCTCCTGTAAGAAAATTCCCAGACATCTTATAAATAATAATGAGCCGAATCCTTCCAAGGTAAGTGACAACACCATAATATCAGTGGATAACCTCCCTGTGCCTCAATTTGAGTCAGCTGTGCAGATCACTCGGTGAGCAAGCCATGAAATCAGGAACAAACTCCAGTTGAAATTCAGGCTTTACTGACCCCGATGCCAAAATCTCCTTTTATAGTCATGATCTCACATTCAGTGTCATAACTCCCTGCATTACTTGCCTAGACATGGGTCTCAAAAGTAGAAAAACTGAATGAGTCAACAAGCACGCTTAAGTAAGTAGGCCAGATGTGCAGTTTATAATTCTGTCCTCCTTTGTCTACCTTTGACAACAGCAGCAGCCCTTAAAACAATGTTTCACAACATAACTTAGTATCCCTTAAATTACCAGGAGATAACAAGCTACCAAGAGGTACATTATATTTGGAAATCCACTGTGAATCTAAGCAAAGGTCAACAAGTCAATTCTCTGCGGTTTCTTCTTTTGATTTGTTTGATAAATTCAGGTTTAAGGAATCCACAAAACAAAGATACATATGTCAAACCAATATATTAATCTGATGCCTTTACAATTTCTGAATATTTAATTTTAATTCATTTTGCAATTTATGTTTTCAAAATAACTTGTGTACTCCTCTTGGACTCTTTAAAATAATTCAAGATAACCTTTGCTTCAAAAGATACATGATCTAGACACTGACTTAGACTAATACCAAGATTATTGCTTTGTCTTTCTGGAAGCTTGTAAGAGAAAAATGACTACTTACTTCCTAAGGTTGTTTAGCAACATGATGTTCACATACATATAATACAAATAATAGCTGTATGGGGGGTTTTTATCACTGGTCCAGAGGTCAGGGTTAAGGCTCTTGTCAGAGAACATATGGCCACTATGCTTGGATTCATCATCAACACTGTCAAAGCCAGTCACCTAAGTGGAAGAAGAGATTCATGGAAATCAGTGTTTTCAAAAGCAAACTTCAGCGTTACTTGCTCCTGCTTTGTGACTTGCTTGTACAAGGCATTTACTCTTCTTCTGTCATTCCCTTCCATCTGCTAGCAGTCCTGCTGCTCTGCCCTCTTATCATACCATGCAGACAGCAGCAATAATGTCTCTTCTCAAAGGAATTTTCACCCATTTTTATTTCTGAGGCAAGTAGGAAGCCCAGATGCACAAAGGCCTTCCGACTCCTGGGGTGGGGCTGTACAGGCCTGTAAGACTCCCTCAGATCTTTCAAACTCATATGCTTTGTTGTTTGAAAAGCCTCTGAAGGCCAGAGGCTCCCACAAAACCTCAGAGTTCTGATTTGAGGCATAGTCAGAAATGTCTCTTTTAATCATGTCCCAACAGCTCCAGCCCCACCTCTGCCCCAAGTCCCATTAGGATCTACACATTGTTTCCTTTCAGGTGCCTCTTTTTTGGAGGCCTGTCCCAGAGGCAAGCTCAAAGTACACATACTGGATTATGATGTTCTCACTGCACAAGAAATGTGAACATTCTTCTGTCATCTTTTATAGAGAGGACTACTGAGCAGACAAATAAAAAGCTGTTGAGCTATTTCAGAGGAAACAAACAGCAACTATTTGACAACAGGACCTTAGCCATGCTTCTATTCAATTGTATGTTAGAGCTTTAAAACAGTAATACAAGTAATCTCTGGAGGAGGAAGCTTTTTTAGTGTCTGGAAACAGCATGGACAAGCAGAGTTTAAGAGCAGGGGACGATCAATTTCATGCAAGACAGAAAATCCAAGCATACTTACATATTTGAGGAAAAGGTGCAATTCTTTGTGATCTTTGGGATTAATTGTTGCTTCAAACAAAGGTACAAAGATGTTCTCCAACATCTTCCCAAAACTAGGCAGAATATTTTTTGATCTAAATATATCACTGAAAGGGTAGAAATATACATGGTTGTGACCATTCTTTAACCAGCTCGTAATTTTCTTCCACTTTCATATTTTCTGTCACTTGTGTATATTCTACAGCTTCAGTTCTACCAGGATTCAGAAATGCAAAATTTATGTCAGGGTAGGCATTGTCTCTGTGCTCCATCTCCTGCATTGCCTGGCACTCTGCTCCATCCGGGCTCTGCTGAAGCTCCCGAATGCTCCAAAAACAGAGACAATGTGCAGGGGTAGATGCTGTCTCAGGAAGAGCAACCCTTTCCCTTAGAACAATCCAAGTACTAACAGGGGAGATGAGGAATTACCTCTTGTGAAAGATTGTTTTCCAAACTTTGTTAAAGTAGAATGTTCTGCTTTAGTGAGCCTCTCCTAAGAGACAGTGTTTCAGCGTGTCATTAAGTGCTTGACTTACCAAAGTGTTGACTCTGCTACGTACTTAAGAAATTGCTACGTAAAAAATTAAAGGAGAGAAACTTTCTCCCTGATGAGGAACACATTCTGGGGGATGTATGGGACCATAACAGCTCTTTCTCTACTCATATTCCAAATACTCAATTTCAAAACATGAAGCTCAGCTTTTAAGGCAAAGAAAATTATCATAAGAGACTGCATTACAATATATAGTATTAGAAACAAAGAATCATTTAATGAAGTCCAAAAGAACGCTTAAAAATTAAGAAAAACTGATACTGATTTAAGCTTGCAAATCAGTGTGGGTTGCATTTCCAAATTCACTGTCATTTAGACACTGATTTTGAGGAAGTTTGACAACAGTTTTACAGAGCATTTTCTACTCCATTATGGAATTCAAGAGTTGATTTATCTTCATTACTAAGTTGTATTTTACCTTGCATTTGAATGCAGCTTAATTTCACCTAGTTGTAGACTTTGAGTTTAGTATCTTCAGACTTAGAAATAATTCATAGCAGTTTTGAATAGCTTCATAAACAGTAGATTCAAACCCCCATCTCCCACCTTCCACTCCCAGACTGTCAAGAAACTGCAGCAATGGTAAGGAATACATTTCCTAGGCTGTTGTTTATAAACAGAACTACAGAACAGCTCATCAACTATCTAAAAAAAATCAGAAATTAAAACATGTCATTGGTATGATTTCAAACTATTAAAACTACCAAGAACTCCTATTACTTACTAGATTCTGGGAACCTGAATTATCCAGCGCATATTAGGGGAATAAACTTTATGCTTAATGAACCATTTTGCCAAGTTCAGCCATTCATCTGGAGACCGTCCATAAATGGATAAGCGGGGTTCTGTATACTGGTACTTACTTTCTTCTAGTTCACGGGCTACTTCCTATTGAGTAATAAATATATTTGCTTTAATATGGACACTGAAGATCATTTACAGCTAGTAGTATATTTATCATTGTATTTGCCTCAGATCAGACATAACTGTATTGTCACCCTTTAAAGATAAATTTATTTTTCTCTTTTAGGCATTTAAATATTCTACTAGCAAGCTATCTAAAGATATCACTTGACTATAAGTAACTGTAACACCTATATTTACACAGTAATAGCTGCATAAGAATATTGTCAACATCTTTTTAAGACAAACGTTTAAAATTGGTAAATCAGAATTAAACTATTTGAACTGTAGGAAATGACTACATAAAATATGCAGCCCAATGGAGAATCTGACCCAGAATCTGTGGTAGTAAACAATTTTAAGGCTATTAAGTTCAGACAAGAACTTCTATACATCTAAGAGCTGACATCTAGTTCATGAAAGCTACTAATTCTTTTATTGTAAGAAGTGACTTTGAAACCTGTGCAAGTCTGTGCAGATAAAGATTGAAGCAGAGGCGCTTCTCTAGCCCCTCCTTCACTAGCAGCTACCACTACCCAACCACATCCTAAAAAAATATTAAGCCAGTGAACTGGTCCTTGGCTGCTTCTCCATTACTTTGAAACTGCACACAACTCTGCTTTGAGCTCATATACACACAGGTCATTTGTATGAGTTTCATAAAATTATTTAGAAAGCTTCAGTGCCTGACTTAGCAGAGGTCTTTTTCTGATCAATTGCTAGAGCAAGCCAAATGCTTGGAATTACTTAACCATAGTGTTAGCTCTAAGTACAATTATGACTGCAAATCTTCTACAAACCTTCATTTCTAAACAGATGGAAAAAGCTTAAAACTTATTTACCTTGACCATACGAGCAAAATATTCACCACCAATGTAGTTCTCAGTTTTCAAATACAAGTCCCTCAGCTCACTGGCACCAACTGGATTGTACTTAGAATTGAATTTGTCAAATCGATGAAAAGTTTGACGACCCTTAAGAAGAAAAAAATCCCAATAACCATGGTTTTAAGTACACACAATAGTTTATAAATCAAATTGCCTAGCAATAAAAAGCACAGAAAAGGCCAATGGTAACTTACTTCAAACATGCAAAATAACGCATGAGTTCAAATTCTGGTTTAATACGTTATGTAAAAATTATAGAAACCAGAATGTCACACTTAGAGAACTTTGCTTTTTCTCATTTAGTTTGTAATGTTAATAGACTTACTGCATGGACATCTAAAGAATCTACAGTCAGGTCATAAGGGTCCATGTGAAGGCTTTCAAAGACTTGCTTTAAAGTCATCTTCTTCCCTTTCTTTTCTGCAACAATCCTGTCCGGCTCCGTTTGATACGTGTGCTTAATAAACCTCAGTAAGTGTTTCTGGTTCATGCAAGCAGCAGCATGGATGTGAGTATCAACCTGAAATCAAAAGGTTATTCATCCTCATCATCTACATACATAAACTTAAATCAGTATACTTAAATGTATGTCAGTCTCAATAATGACTAAAGCCTTCTAACGTATTCCTTAAGTACCAAATGCATTACTGCCTAAGCAAATAAAAATTTTTCAGAACCTTGAGATTTTAAGTTTTGAGGAAATTTTTAATAAGCAGAACTATAAATAAAACAGCCCTCAATTAACAGTTTCCTATTTAAGAAAATTTTCAACAAGATACTTTACAAGTACCTATCACAGAACCTGGGTTCAGAATTTAGATGATCCCTTCAATTTTTTAGAGATTTTAAGGTCCCTTCCAACCTAAGCCATTCTATGATTCTGTGATTCCTTAAAGGACACTCTGATCCTTTAGTATCCTTTTATTTCATCCATGAATCTACGATGTCCTTCTCGTTACGGACTGTAGTTATAACCATCCTTTCTGACTGGAAGGCTCTGGAATTCTCAGCTCTTTCCAAAATCATAATTCATTTCAGCCACAGTAAGTATCTTAGGTCACTAGAACTGCAAAATGTACATGTGAGAGGTTTTGTCACTTTTTTCCCAAGTTTAATTCTAATACACCAAGTCATAACGCTGACTGATTGTTCTGTTTCTTCAGATCTCTTCACACACAAAGGGAAGTGCAAGCATCACAAAAGGGCTGAGAGTAGTCCTTCAGGTTTTTTTGTTGAAGTCCTATTTTAAAAAAAAAAAATTACAACCACCAAATGGTTTCTACAGATATGCTTTTGTTTTGCCCAGAAGTTTTCACTGCTATTTGAGCAGCCTATCTTAGAACACAATCTAAAGAAACAACCAGTGAGATTTGGGGGTTTATTTACTTAAGGTTTCCCTTCAGTATGTGTAATCCCTTAGGTGCCTCCAGCAAGTATGTAAAACTAATCTGTTGCAATTACCGGAAGTCAAGGGTTTATTGTCTTGACCTCAGGAGCAAAATACACCACTAAGAACAGAAAAAAAACAGGCAGATTCCCCAAATATTTCTTGTTTGAAAAGGGAGTAATACTAAATGCAGTTCCTAAGGACCAAGTACTTGAAAGGGGAGAGTAGGCCCTAGTTAGGACAACAGCCTGAAGGAATCAAACAGCACAGTGATATCCAGTGCGTGCAGCAGAAGAGCTGCTGCTCCAGGGTCCACTTGCTTTGAAGTTCCTTGACAAATCCCAACTGAACAACCACAAAGCCTAATGCATGTCGTAGGGAAAACAATGACATCATCATCAAATTGGTATCAATTTAAACCCAAACCAAAGCACTGTTCTGATTAGTTTTCATAGTTGACACAATGCGCACAACGGCCCTGCACACAGCTTGACAGAATCTTCAAGTCCAGCCTGCCAAATCCTAGCAGAAGCAGTTTCAGCTCACCTAAAGGCCACAGTGCTACATGCTGCTAAGCTTCCCACTGTCCTCCCACAGAGGCCCAGCCTGGATATGGCTGTGAGCACAGCGATGTGGTCAGAAGCAATTGCCAACTTTCACTATTTCCAACATGTGCCTTGTGCACCAACTGCTTGATACTGGAGACAAGTCTCAAAAGACCAACTGGCAGAATGGTTCTGCAGCATGAGCAGGAAGCAAGACGGTTACGGTTTCAAGATGATGATGTCTAACATATGTGCCAAACGCCACATATGTAAGTCTAAAAAGCCACTATACTGTCCTATATATTGGTAGGAGATGGTTAGTAATCATTACAATTAACACTTCACCATGAAATAACTATGATGGAAAGGGCTGCTCTAACTCGTCATACAGAAAATGAGAGGAGCTCCAAAGCAGAAATAAGAAACAATCTTGCTTCTGCACAACACTGGTAATGCAGTTATCAGAATGCTCCCAGTTTTGCTGTCTGCATTTAAAGGTTTAAAAAAACAAATATTGACAACATTCCCAAGAACTGTCACAAAAATAAATAGAAGCTGGAAAACCCACACAGCCATGTCATTGTAAAACTGAAACTTATTTGGCTTTCAAGGTGCAATTTGAGAGTTAATTTGATCAACTGTATACATGTATTTGTACATTCCAAAGAGACCATGAGGGGGCTTTTCAATCTCACAAGCAATTTAACAAGATCTGAAGGTTGGATGCTGAGATTTGACACAGTTTCCTTAAGATACCGGAACAGTTTGAACCCACCACACTGTATTTTTTAAAATGCAAGTAACTAGCATTCCCAGGGACACACTCCCACAAGAGCTGTGTAGCCTGTATGCAGCAAGTCACACTAGAAGGAATTCTTCCAGAAAGCTTTTATAAGGAGTCACATGAACCACCATCTCTGCAAGGACTGTCACGCAGGACTCTTCTGTCAAGGGAACTGCAAACACGATGCAGGTGAAACCGGGTACGTTCCCCTTTGTGTAGTGGCTACATCTGCAGCTTTCAGATTCCACCAAGAAGCAGCTGGCACCCTGATCAGTAGGAAACGGATCATGGAGCACCTAAGTAGCAGCCATACTCCTGTAGTATACACCTCAGCTTATGCTATGACATACAGTCCCCAGAAATGCCCGTTTTACTTGGCACATGTAGTCATTTAATTTGCAGTTTGTACATACAGAAGTTGCTGCAGGCCATTAAGGGTAAATCTGTCTCCATATGAATGTTAACAGCGTAACTAAAGACCAGAGTATAAACTGAATCCTAAACATTACCCTTTAATCGTTAATCACTGCCTAGTTCAAATACGCTCCATGCTTTAAAACTAAATGAAAAAGCAAGAAACATATTACTGACTTGAAGTACACAATATGAAGTACATTACTAATGTACAGTAAACAATGCTGTGCCTAAAATAGTAAAACCAGCTCTGCTTAACATATTCTTATACTCCTCATAGTACTTGTGTAGAGGTTGGAACCCAATACATATGCTTACTCAGGTTAATAAATGTCCTCTGTTTTAGAAGCAAATATTTACTGTAAACTCTTCCTGGACCAGTGAAATACTACAAACTACTAGGTTTGGTCAGCTTATGTGGGAAAGTGAAATAACAGTTAACAGATGCCCTGCAAGTTCTAAACATTCAGAAAAAGTAAATCATAAGCATAGAATACCAGGTGTGGGGAACCTGAAGTGCAGTTGACTGAATTTCAGAATACACTAGTTCCAGCAGTGGCTCAGCTACTGGAATTAATGAGTCTTGAAAACAAAAAAACAAAAAAACAAAAAAACAAAAACAAAAACAAAAAAAAAAAAAAAAAAAAAACAAAAACAAAAAAAAAAAAAAAAAAAAACACCAAAACCAAACCAACCAAAACAGAACACTTCCTCTTTATTTAATCTATGTGAGTTGACTGCTGTTAGGAGGGAAAGAACAGAGAACAAGGAGACATTGTTTCTTGTTTGCTTGTATGCAAGGATCACATGAAACAGTAGTAAGGGCATCTCTTTTGAAGTCCTGCTTCCTGTTGAGAAATAATTCTCTCAAGTGTGCCTTTGCAATCCTGTGAAATCTTCTCCAGTCCCTACAAGCATATCACACATAGCTCTATAGCTACATTAACCCCATCAGGCTTATTCTCCAAGAACTGAGAATACAGGGTTTTTTATCTTTTTTTGGTTGGTTGGGTTGTTTTGTTTTGTTTTGGGTTTTTGTTTTTTGGTGGTTTTTTTTTGTTTGGTTTTTGTTTGTTTGTTGGTGTTTTTTTTTTTTTATTTTGGTTGGACTTTTTTTCCCTTTTTCCTCCTCCCTCTCCCTAAATATATTTATTTCCCAAGAATAAAAAGACTTTCCTGGAGTGTCTTTCATGCTCTTCCCAGAGAATGTGCAGTACTTCAACTACCTTTTTTAACCACCTGGTATACTTCGACCTTTAGGTAAGCAGGAACTTCACTAACAACAAAAGTCTTATAAAGTATCACAGAGCTTTCTTCATTGTTTTTTAGAAGCAATGTAACTTTTTGGAAGGTTTTAAAGACTTGGAGCTTTGACCTACCCTAATACATAATAAATTAGTCTGTATGCATTTGTACATTTTCACAATTCAGTGTGCAGTCCTATCTGAATGAAGCACCTAAGTCTTTAGACATAACTTACCTGGTCCAATTTAGTATGCAATTTTTTTTTATTATTATTTGAAATATTATCCTAAGAAATTGTTACTAATTTAATTGTTATTTATCATGAAAGGCATCTGCTAAAAGAATTTGGATAGATTGAGTTCATCTAAGGGTGACAAATGCCCCTTTTGCCTTCTCTCTTCCGCCCTAAAAAGACCAAACCAGTCCCATTTTATGCTCTTTAAGGATAACATAGCTGTTATGCTGCCACACGAGGCCAGGCATCTGAGCTAGTGAGTCTGCAGGCAGAAGGCTATGATGTGTCCAAGTCATTGTTATGACATATCCTCAGGTTTGGTTTGCTGACACACTGAAAAAATGGCTGAAGAGATAAAGAGTATGAAAGGAGGCTTACACTGTCATTTTTTCATCTTTAGAAAGCTATATCAAAGTTATCTGCAGTGAAGGACACCTGTCAATGCAGGATATCAACGTATGTCATAAAGGTAGCAAATATATGTTACGTAAACAAATCTCGTCTTCACCTTTATAAAAAAAATAAAAGGCAACAACCTCCATCCTAGAAAAACAATGGATATAAACCGAAGTTCCTAATAACGACAACAGCTCCAAAACCAAAACAGCCCATGCCTCTTCCAATTTGGAACATTTTAAGAAAAGTAAAATAACATAACATTCAGATTTAGGTTCTTTACTTTGAAAGTGTATTTCAGGTAAAAAAAATCAATTATTGGCTCCAAATTACCTGAGGCTGTAGGGCACTGATCTACTGGAAGCCCTGCTCAAAAAAAAAAAAAAAATCACATAAAGGCACGACATTGTAATACACAAAGGTTAAAACTCAGTTCTGAGTTTGTGCGCTGTCAAGCTACACTCTTACTGATTACTTTCATCCTTAATGAAGGCAGCCCAGTAGTTAGGTGGAGAATCTGTGTTCACTGCACTTTGCATCCACTGGAGAACGTAGGAGAGCCCTGCTGATGGCAGACTCAAGAGCCTCTCCTACACAGGCAGTTGTCCACCTCCTGTGGGGAGCCAAGTGGAACCAGCCACACTACCTTACCACCTGTGAATTCTTGTCTGTCTAGAGAAATACTTGTCTGGCTATTGAAGGGTAGTTTTCCAGTTCCATCCTTATCGTGGGATTTATTAAACAAATGAGCTCACTGGAAGAGAACTCCTATTAAACCATGCAAAAAAAAAGGGATGGGAGGGGGAGGGAGAAGGGCAAGAGAAACCAGTAACCTTTGATTATCATGCCAGCAAATAATGCTGCCCAGTTTTCAACTGTATCTTTCTCAATGCAGTAATACATGTTCACTGACTGACCTTGCCACTACATTCAAATCTGTCTTAATTTTTTTTTTTTTTTAATCCATCAGCTACTTTAGCTCTTTTATATAAACAAGCGGATTGAACCAGGATCTCCACACTAGTGTATGAGGGATGTAATGAACAACTTCACTAATAGCTCTTTTGGGAGGTGAATCCTATTTCTGGCTTTCCGTACGAGCAGTACGCACTGTTTAGGACTGGCTGACAGACAGACATCCTAAAAATATAGGCCCTAGAGATATCTGGTTTATATTATAAATATCACTGCTGGTACTGTTATTAGGGAGGAAGCACTTTAAGGAAGTTAAAAAACCAAACATTACCTTGGTTAGCAGTACATAGGGAAAACAAGATCATTTGGGTACTTAGACAAACTCTATCTACAATGCAGTTTACTTTCCACAAAGTAAACTTCATGAAAATACTACTTGTAAGCTTACTTCATAAAAATACAACCTTAAGCAAGATCAACTCTGTGCAGCAAGAATTTTTAAAGCAGTAATTAGCAGTAAGAATGATCTCTGCCAGAAAAGAGCAAGCTTGTTCCTGCTCTCGGGAATGCAGTATTGCCAGAGGAGAAGTGATGTACACTTTGTGCTTTTGAACAACATGAATCCCTTTGTAGACTGGCTTATTTAATAGCAGATAATTAAAAAATAATTAAGATAGGCCCAGAGACATTGAACATTTGTTTTTAAATCAAAGGTTGAACTTGGCAATTACAATTCTGTTAATTACAGTTTCTCAGTAATCAAATTGATTGTCTGGGCAGTTACCCAATCCGCACCGCTGTCCTTCACACCTCTCAGTCACCATGTGTTTTCTTACTAACGTCTCTGTCAGCTAGTGAAGTGTTTTATCTGAGTGTGGCATGAACTAAATATCTTGTCCAGGGTTATGCAAGAGAACTATCAAGTTAGGAGTCCCTGCCACTTGAGGCCTGCCTGCGTGAGGGAATTAGCTAGAAGATCCTCCCATCCATGTGCTTAACAGACAAGTGTGAAATTCATTAGAATTTGCCTAACAATCCATGGGCTTCTAGCCTTAGAAGGACAGGGGTGCATTCATCAAACACTTCTGGTTAGCAGATTTAGTATTTGACAGTTTATTACCACAACAGTAGAAAATATTCAGCAGCCTACACACTGGACCCAATAGGGGAAAGCCAAAAGAACTTTGATGTACTTTTTGATGTACTAGTGATAACCAAGGCCTACTGAGAACAATTAAAGTACTGATTTAAACCCTGAAGTGACAAAGACTACATCTTTCAGTTGCATACAGAAACAACGCAAAATGGACTTGCAGTGGTTAAAAACACCAGCAGCAATTACTGCCTTGTGAAGAAATCTCACCAAACTGAACTCAAACTCACCAAAACGCATCAAATGAAGCATTATCTCTCCAGTAGCTTCCACTTAATTTCAGGAAAAGGAAGCAAATTTAAACAGCATGCTGCTTCCACGCTTTGAAGAGATGCAGCTCCTTTGGGTGTGAATATGCCAGGAAATTAAATCTAGCTCCTTGATTCCCCTGTCGCTAATTACATCCTGGTCTGTCTCAAAGGCAGCTAAGAATTTACCTCAAATAACAATCTTTTTACTTAATATTTCACAGATGTTTTTTACCACATACTGATGGCAGTGTAAGTCCTCAGTTCACTTTCCATGGGAGGCCTTTTTTCCTTTAACGTGTATTTAAACACCCATTTTGACAATGAAGTGAAATTTTTATCCAAAAATCTATGCAGCTATTCTGACTACAGTCGAGTACAACTTACCTACATGAAAGCAGGAAAATGCATGTGACTGTCTCTAGGGGAAGTAATTAAAATGAATTAAACGTCCAAGTGGATATTTTTATTCATAATCCAAGTGAGCTTCATTTGATTAATTCTGTTTCACTCCTTTAAAGCAATCTACATTCTATTCAGCCCCTATGATTCCAAATAAAAGAACAGATTAATTTAGCATAATCCATTTAACCTACTTAAATTCAAATTAATTTTCCTGGAGTGTTCCCATGTAAAAAAATTCTAATATTCTTAAAATAGCATAATTCAGTTGAGTGGTATGCACACACCGCGCGGGTCGCTCACACATCATATAAGAAATGCAAAATTGCTAGAACTGCTACTGAAACTGATGTTATACCTTTAATCCTTTTCACACTTACCTTTCTCACGTTGTAAAAGTCTCGATGGGGATTACTTTTTAGTTCTTTAAATTCCGACATTTCATTTAGCATCTCATGTAAACTAAATTTAGATTCTAAAAAGTTAAGCCTCCGATGGCAATATGTTTTTCTGTAAAAGAAAACAAGGAGAACAAGACAAATCCCTTCTTCTTGTCCTACTGGTTAACAAAGTCAATATCAAACATGATTTCAGACCAAAGGTATTAGTGAAACCTAACACAGAACTCTGCATCTGTGTTATGTCCTTAAGTTGTTCAAATATTGTTATCATTGCATCTGTGTCTGAACTGCAGTTCTTTTAGTAACAGGGACAAGAATAAAACCTGTAATAAAATCTGCTAGCAACTGCTGCTACTCTGAAACAAAACCTCAACTAGAGTAGATCACCTCTTATATAACAGAAACCACCTGGAATCCAGACTTAACAATAAAGTTTTCCCAAAGTGTATTTGCTTTTTCAACGTGAATGTAAGAAGCCAAGATAAGATCCAATATACTTTCTTTTTTTATGCCTTAAAAAACACATCTATTGTTTATAAATACTTTTTTCCAAAATAATTTCTTGTACTCTTCTTAGAAATATCATGGGATTCTGTAGTCGATAGGTACAGCTTTGTAAGGGAAGGCCTGGTAAAATCACAGCTCCAGTCTGTAACCTAGGCTAAGCAGAGAAGGGCTCTGGGAGAGTGACTCAGCTGGAATAGAGGAGGCGAGGCATGCTGTGTGTTTGCACTGTGGTGTTTGGTGGTTGGTTAAAATGAGTTTGTTAAGTAAAAAGTATGTAAACTAATGGTCAAGTAATGGCATAAAAAGGCCAGACTTTTTGTAAATAAAGTTCCTCCTTTGCACCTGCCTGGGGACTTGCTGCTGCTTTGTGCCGCCTGTACCGACACAGGCTTCTGTTCCTGCTTGCCTACTCCTCTGTCCTCACTTGTATCTTGTTACATTCCTCATTCTATTTTTAACCAATGACAACACTTTTATCTTCACCATCTGTCAGTTTGTACTGAATCTACAACATTTTTATAGCACTATTAATGTTAACAGCCTTCTTTTTTTCTGATTTATTGTTGATAATCTCTCTTCAGTGGGACACAAAATCCATTATGGATTTGAAAGTCCAATTCAAACAGTTTCACTCTATCTGATGCTGATCAAGACCCATTTGCCTGCTGCAGGAAGTCTTTCTTGGGTTATACTATTATTGAAGAGACTGTAAGAATGAGGATTAGGGGGGGCATTTCACCAGTTTAAGTGCAGGGAAGAGTAAAGAACAATGGGTTCTTGATCTCCATGCAGTCTCATGTGTGACAGACATAGATGACAGGAAAGCACTTGCTGCAAGCAGGGAAACAATATCATATAAAGAGCTTATGCAACAGCATTACTGAAAAGACTTTTTCCATTTGGTTTGTGTGTATTTATCAGGGAGTGTGAATCCACCTCCAAAAGCTTAATCTGAAGAAATGAAAGGAGCAGATGATTGCCCCTACATTTCAAAGGTGATGAGTGTTCTAACATGTCCTACTAAGGCCTTTTTTACTTATGGCTTCCTGATAAAGACAGTTAACAAAAGCTGCAAAAAGAAGGGTCTTCAGTGTGACTTTTGCTTCAAGTTTTTCCTCCTCGTCCTTTAGTCTTCTCAGTATCTGTCTCTTGGAATATAACACACTGAAACTGGAAATGGACTTACCCACTGCATACTGTAAACAAGCACACTCAAGCTAGCTTTGGTTTGGAGCAGGAGTGCTGATGATACTGGTGGAAGCACACGCTTCTGCTGCTGAAACAGTGGTTAGGGAATGGGACAGTTGTGTTCAGCCCATCTGCTTTGCTGCTATCAATATGCAAGGTAGACATCATGCTGCAGATGTCAGACAGACTCAAAGGGGAAAGAATGCATCAGATGTGACGAACTTGTCACTTCCTAAGTGATGATCTTTCACAGACAGGCCTAGAAATGCAGTGCTGGCAGGCAGGGCACGTAGTTCAGAAGAACAGTCCAGGTTCCTGCTTTGTTCCATCCTAGTGTGAAATCTTTCCTTTCCTTGTGTTGAGGCCATGAGAAACCTTGATGTTTCCAGTTCTTATCTGTGAACTAAAAACTGGATGAATGTGCTTTCATTATGTACCAGGCAAGGACACTGCCTTGTCATGATTGTGTCAGTGACAGTACTAGAGTTGTTATGTTTCCAGTTTTTAGAGATTTCCCGGGAGTCTGATGGTTCTGGACCATTTCAGAATTATTTTGATTGTGCATGCATGGATCAGTTTTGCAGCACATAAGCAGTTAATTCACATATGGAACAAATCAGACTGAATATTTATGTTGCTGAGCTGTTCTGTATGCTCTGCCTAGGAGGGTTTCTCCTCATGCAGCAAGAGTAGGACAGACATGAAGGAGTTCCAAACCACTGTTCAAAACCCTCAAATTTAGCACAGGCTAAAACAAAATTAAAAAGGTGAGGCTCAAGTTTCACTTCCATGCCTCAAAAAGTTTGGGTGAGATTCAACTTGAATGCAAACATTTGGCCAATATCTTGCTTTTCACTTAACTCCTTCCCATTTTGTGGTGGTTGATGCAGATAAACTAAAGAAATTAAATACAGCTGGGGGGGTTGGGAGGTGGTGTGTTCCCTTTTTAAGTCTTTCTCTGATGCATTAATTCTTGTGAAGGGTAAAACAAAACATTACTGCAGAATAAATACATTGAGGAATTAAATATCAGAATAGCGAGAAGTATTAAACTAAAGGTAACCAGCAGCCTGAAGGGGCAGAGAAGAAAGAGAAACATACGTTGGACCATCAGCAATTAGAGCAAGAACATGGCTCAGGTCAAGAGTGTAGGTCTCCAGGTCAGGATATGGCAGACTGTGAGGTTCATTGAGTTCCATCATTTCTTTGTTATCATAAACAAAGGGAATGCCACCTTTTATCTTGATAATATAATCCAAATTGTCTGGAGCATCATCAAGATTGTAAGGATCTTCATTTTCTTCTGGGGGTGAATGGAAATCTGAAAATAAATTTACATCACATTTAGAAGAAGTAACCTTATCGAAAGGCAAAATAATTAACAAAAGGACTTTATGATTCTCTAATGCTTCATTTGTAACAGATCTTAATATTGTAATTAAAATTGCATTTTCAGTTACTATAAAAGAACTGTTGTTACAACACAGCTTTATTCTGACAGACTGCAGTCCTCCTCTAAGCTAAGGGTCTACCATAATTCAAATATTATACACAGAGTTTTCTGAACCAAGGTATAAATAGACTCAATACTATTCTTTATTTATGTATGATGATATAAATTTCACAAGCTTCCAGAAGTACTTAATTGCATGGCTGAAAGTACAGTTGAGATTTTTGAACTATAGAACAGTTGTTGACTTCGTACCCACCTTCATTATTTGCCTTTCACCTTCTGACTCACTAATTTTGCTTAATTCTACTTAATTTTACTTACTTCTACTTAATTTTACTAATTACTAAGTAATTTCTGAATTTTTTATTTAAGCACACAGTAATGCAGCTGTTTTCATATTGAAACATCAGTCAGAAAAGAACAGGTTGTGCCTTACTTCTCCACCTCTGCCCTTCCCACAATCCAATGAGCTAGACTAGTACATACACACTAGGGCTAGTTTCTCCTTCTCCCAACCATTAGTGAATATACTACACTCACGCTAGAGCAGGAAACGTTAAGACTCATTGCTTCTTATTCTGCCCAAGGCTGCGATGGGTTGTAGGTTTTCTGGGGGGTTGGTTGGTTGGTTTTTCTTGTTTTGTTTTTTTGATTGGTGTTTTTAATTTGTGAGGGTGTTTTTGTTTGCGAGTTTGGGTGGGTTTTCTTGTTTGTTTTAATAAAATCCCTTATTATTATTTTTAATTGCTTTTGAATATAACCAAGAAGTGCAGAAGCCAAAGACAGTACAACATAACTCTAGTTGGCCTTCTGATCTTGACTAAAACCAGGAAGTCCCAGAAGCACATTTGAGATTTGTTCAAATCCACAGTTGAGATTTGTTCCCGTTGCGTAATTACAATTATTTTTTTTTTCTGTGAATCAGGTAAACACATACTTCTGGGAGATTCAGCTTATGTGAACACTTAAAAGTTATTACTCATGTCAGCCAATGTTCACAATTTCTTTTACTAATGCAACTAGTATAAAATAAGAGTCTCAACTACATTTATATCAAAAATACTACATTCTTAGGCTCAGTCTTATTACTGAGATTTCTTCTCTTACCTGTTGAGTTAAACCAAGACAGAAAAGTAACTAACGAGTTCTTGTGCTCACCTGGACCATCTGAATGTATGTTTTAAACTGATACCATTCTTACCTTTAATGCTAATTACAACACTGCATAATGAGATTTTACTGTTTATGTGATAAGTTTAAAGTCATAACTATAAAAAAAGTTATTAAACTAATAATAGCTTGGAAATATCTCCCTGGCAGCTGTTCTAAATTATCTTTCCTGTCTTGAATATTCAGTATACTGTCTTCTTCACATCCTTTCTGTATAAAAAACATTTGAAAACATGTTAATTCAGCCCCTTTCAACCACTGAGCTAGAGGGTAATTGATTTCAAAAGTAACTTTATGGCTCAGAAAACATTGTCAACAATATGAACACATCTACAGTGGTACATTTGTAAAGACCAAAGTTGCTCCCCACAGGCTAATCCAAAACCTAGCAGTGCAAACACTTAACACACAAGCAAGGCTTTCAAGACCCAACCCTAAATGACAAATATAATTTATGACACATATAGTGGAGAAAACATTCAACCTGATAGGCCTGGTTGAGAGATCAGAATTTATTAACCCAGTCAGAATGACAAACAAATATGAATATACAGCTTCCAATCTTGACATAGCAAGTGATATTCCTGTGATATTACTGACTCAGGGCTTGCTAACTGGCTTATCTGTACCATGCTTCAATTTACAGTATAGATGATCTTATAATCCCTTTCATTTCAGCATGCCAAGATCTGGGGAGTGACTGTTCACTTTAAACTATATCCATGTTTCTTTTTCCTGGAGGAACACAAGTGTATTACTTACTATCCTATTTGCTGCAGAAAAAAAAAAATCAGTGAGAGTCTAGCATGTTTTTGTAGCTTTTCACAGCTTCAGTTTCAGATTAGACAAAGCATTTATAACTTAGGTCCATCAGTAATTCTTCACCACTTACTAACGGAATAAATTACAGAGGCAAAGACACTCAGAAGAGATCATTGCAAAAATCCAACTTACCTTTACTACAGCAGTGCATGGGTTTAATTCTATATTTTAAAAAGAAGAGCAAGGATATTCACCTGGATACACTTCATCTTCAACCCTCCACTTTTCATCTTGCATGCTACACAAATACTGAGATGTCGTTCTTGGGAAGCGATGGTAGGCAAGACGTGAATACTTTTCTCGAATGAGAAGAGCTTTCACCAGGCTCTTGGCAGCTTGCTCATAATCATCAACTGTAACCTGAAAGGAAAGCCTGCATAACTACAGACAAAAACAAAAGAGCACTTCTAGCCACAAAAGGAATCCATGCTGCTAACAAGGAAACTGAATTACTGACTTTCCAGAAATGTATGTGGCTTGACCATAGGAATCTTAGCCAAGGTCTCAGGAAGCCAGTGGCAAGCAGAGTCCAAATACAATGTGCAAAACACATTTTTTTTTTCCTCCTGCCATATATTTAATTAATTTATATAATGCCTGACAACATTTTTATCTATCCAATTTATTTTTTATGTAAAAAGTATAAAATGACCTGACCTTGACTTTAACTGTTTTACAAATCAATGTGTTCACAAAGCAATATACAGTTTGCAGAGAGACATAATATACCGGCATTTCACATTTCATATACATTAGCTGCTTGTGGTTTGGGATTTCCTCCCCCAACAGAGGAGGGGAAGGGGGTGGTTTCTTACCCCTGCACAGTAGTCCCCACTAATTGAAACTCTCTGAAACTCTGGTACATCATATGGCACTTGGACTGGCAGAAAAGCACTTGGAAGAACTGGCGTTGCAGGAGACAGAACAGGATTGGCTGATGGTGCTTTCCATTCCTGAGGTGGAATTTGTAATGACAAAGACTGGGATCGAATCATCTTGAAACTTTTCTTCCTTTGAATTCATGGTATAAAGCATAAAATAAGCCACGGTATGAAACATTAAACACATTGGAAATCTGATTACAGCAAAGAGATCACCCCCCAGGAAATTTTACAAATTAAAACTCTAATACCACAGCAAAAATGCTGATCACAAAATATTTGTGTTTTTACCTTTTTTTCTATTCACATTTCATATGATATATGCTACAAACAATTGCATTGAACACGATACACTGTAATTTATTTACAATCACCCTAAGATGCCCTGAGGTTTGTTTTGTTTCTCTTCTTACAAATTCAGTTTCAACCAGTCACTGTAAATGTGATCATTGTGCTTATTTTAGTAGGAGTTGATTCTTAGATACTGGTAGCATCAGAACTCATGAAGTATCACACAGAAAAAAGTGAATGTTATGTATGATTAAGTTGTTATAAGTTACTGTGCTATTACACACTTAATTCTTCCCAAAACAAGCAGGACTTTAAAACTCATCTAATTGTCAGACAAGATAAGTTTCATATATAGCAATTCAATTAAACTGGTAAGAAAAGGGATGAGCGCATAGTTATTCCTTAGGCGGTGTTTGATGAGACTTGAACAAAAGGCTAATGTTGGTATCAGAGTAATAACAGCATGGCTTTGATCTGTTAAGCCCGCTCCTCCCCTCAGAGCACTAACTGGCTAAACCCCATAGATGTAAAAACTTTTGCCCTTTCTCAGCAGAACTGTGATAGATGTGTACCTTGGACAGATCTGCTGAAAAAGAACGCTGTATTTTTCAGCAAAGTAATTGCAATACTTCAAGTGAATTTCTGGACTATCTCTAAAGATTTAATTAATTTTCCTTACTCAGTTTAAATTAAATATATTTTAAATATTCATATAATAAATATGAATTTGTTTTATAAGCTAGATTTGAAAACTATTTTTTTTAAAAAAAATGTTCATAAGAATCACTAACAAAGAAAAAGGAATACTGTAACACTCTCTTGAAGTGGTGTATTACTTCTGTGACACACTGAGGAATAAGAACATGGAGTGCTGGTATGATTAATACTCTACAACCAAATTCCACACTCTCCTAAATCCTTGTAGCCATCTTTGAAACCAGTATGAAATTCTGAAAGGTAGTGTTGGATCAACTGCAACTGAAAATGGAAGTTTTACTCATGTAATTGTCCTTGAAGTACACTTCAGCCCTGCAGGACATGGATGAATACTTGTTCTCTTCCCACATGTAAACAAGATACATATAATGTTCCACTTCCCACAGTTAAACCTCCACAAAACTTGAGGTACAGTCTGATAAAACATATTTCTATAGGACAATGTCCCAAACGAAAAGCAAAACTTACTGGCTCAGGAGAAAAGCGACACCAAATAGCTGTTTGAATGAAAACATCTAGTTTTCCCTTTTGTGCTTGTTCATGTCTATGAATGTGCCAACTGGGAAACCCTTGCACTTGCGCAACTCAAACCCAAAAGGCACAGCCTGTATCATCAGTGTGTCATACCTTAATTTAACTAAATTGACTCGTCTCCCTTCTGTTCCAGAACACGATGCCAAGCATTGCCCAACTGATTGTCTGCAGCTACCCGGGTACGTGTGTTTAGCTGTCGCTTTCAAAGGCTTCTTGTTTGCCTGCTTTTTGCAGCATCTGTCCATGTCCAAGCCATTTGGTGTCACACTGCTGCTGAGCTCACGTGACTCTTGGAAGCAGTCTAGCCAGTCTACTGAAGTTAAGGTACTGGAACAGCTTGACATCAGGGCCAGTCTACCTCTCTTGCAGAAGAAAATCATAAACTAAATCAAGTTTGGCTTTATTAGATTCACTGGCAAACCAAAAGGGGACTCATTTTTGTTTGTTTGTTTGTTTTTTGAGAAAATTCAAAATGTGTGCTTTTAAGGCTGATAGTGGTTAGATTTTATCTCTGTGAGTTAAGGAAATCTACAAATAACCTCATTATGCCAATACCACTTTTAACGTTTAATATCAAGGGAGAAGGTTAAGTCTTTGCTTTCATCTATTTTTACAGAGACTAAAATATCACACCACTGTCATTTTCTCTGTGTTAAAATCTTCTGTTTCTCTGAATTAAACTGTGGAGCAGAAGTTTCTTTTTCTCACTTTTTTTTTTACATTAAAGAGCTTTTAGGGTTGTGTTGTTCTTCTTAGCTTCTAGCCAGCTATACTGTTTGTTAAACTTGCATACGCAGCTCCCTCACCAGTCCAAGCTCCCTAGACCAATCCCCACACCTTACACATAGCATGGAAGGACACCACACAGGTGCTCTTGGTACCTGCTGTTGACCTTTCTACTGAAGTAGTAAGAGGCAGAATGTTATTTGCCACGTATTTCAATATTAACTTGAGCTCATTTAAAAAAATATTTTCCAATAAGAAAGCAACTATGGAACAAACCTTTTAGCTGTTTCCACAGACTGTTGTTCTGCCAGTTCCTTCTGCAGTTCTCTTTCCTTGGCCTCTTTCTGCCCAATAGGGCAGTCTTCAGGCACAGTGAATAGTGACAAGGCATCTTTGCTGTCTTCTTCTCGGAGAACTTTAGCAAATACCTTCTCTGCTAAAAGTCGCACATGCTCATCAACCTCAGAGATGTTCAGCTTTGGAAACTGTCTGGGCATCTCAGCTAATAAAGAAGACAGTTGACAAAGTTAGAACCACAAGAAGAATAAGTGAGAGACTATTTTATTTTGTGGTACACCTATAAAAATTAAGAACTGATAGCAATACCAGAATACAGTAGAACAGCTATGCAGAACACAAGAAGCACAGGTATCCGCTAAGCATCTTTACTTTTGAAGCCATGCCAATTTGTGAATCAGGAACCTCTTGGTATACTCATGAAAATTTCTAAGATATGCAAGTACAGATTTGCCAGTGGATTCCACTTACCTGCATAATCAGATAGACTATTATTTGCGATCAAAGGTATACTTAGCAGTATGAACTTGCACTGAACTTGGAAATCACATTCACTAACTTGTCTGCCTTCTTCCCTGCTCAGTGACTTCAATTTTAGAGCCACAAGCAAGTTCAAAAAGAAAGTTGCACCTTTCTACCTCATGCCATCCTTTCCACAAATAAGAAAGTCTCGAAGCTGCTGTGAAGTAAAATGGTTGCACAACAGGAGCAAATACGGTATAGTTAACGCTGTGTCTTTTTTTCCTCATTTGTTTTCAGTAGTTCCTATCCTGCTTTTCAGTTTTATGTGGGAAGAAGCCAGGATATGGACTTCAATTTCTACTTGGCATTTAAATATTATTTTTCTCAAAAATATGCTTTAATTTTAAATTTTTATTTAAGTAGCCTTTCATCACAAAGTATTTCCATTTTGTTATAGCAGCACTAATGAAAATACCATCTGTAGTGGGGTTTTTTTCGGTAGTTTCACGGCTTTCCTTGTATTTCATTCTCCTACAATCAAGAGCATGAATTGTTACATATCTGGTAGCATTCTGGAGGGGGAAAAAAATACAGTGGTTGTAAGTTACTGTCCAGTACTATTTATCATGCACTATAAAGCTTTTTGAATGCCTTCAGTATGATGGAGTTTGTAACAAATAAGATTAAATTCTTTTCACATAAGTTAAAAATAGCAATGAACATATCACAACAAATGGATCCAAGCACTGTAACTGCTATTTCAGAATCCTGTTTGGTTAAAAAAAAACCACAAACATATTTTATAAGATAGTGTTCATTTAAAAAACAACGTATGCCAAAAGTCAGGCTGGAGTGTGGCAGTTTTTAATCACTCCAGGCATAACTTATGAGGGCCCCCATTACGGTATTTCTGTAGGCATGCTGCAGGTTTCACATGTTGATATGTGATCCTTTTGATATGTGATCCTGCTGTTTTCAGCTTAAAAGATTCTAATTAATGTCCACCTATTTTCACAGTTGCTTTTTGTTTTTTGCTTTTATTCTAGAATAAAATATAGTATAAAAAGGAGACAAGATACACTGGGACCATAACATGGCAATTCAGTGATCATCTACGTTAATTTACATTCTTATTTTGTAACAATCATTTCACAGCCCAGTGGAAAAATGTCACCAGTTTTAAGGAACTGTGCATCTGATGATGCAGGTTTTCTATGCAGAGTTATTTTCCAATTAGTAATAAATCTTCATGAAGTCATGTATAGCTACATCATATAAAAATACATACACGTTTAGATGAACAATTCGATGACAATGCACTATGATGCCTTAGAAGCATCCAAACTTAGATGCAGTTTCTCAGTTTCAAACCTCAATGAAGTCATGAGAGTCTTTCCACTGACCTCAATGACCACAGTTGTTAGCAGCAGTAACTGCCATATGTACAGCTGCCAGCAAGAACTACCTGTATAGTTACCGACTATAGTTAAGAGCACTAGTAAAACTAGCAAAATGCCAAATAATAATAGTAATATTCCTTCTATTGCTAAATCAGCAACTAAAATATTTTCAGTACTAGCTGACTAGGACAGGGAAAAAATCAATCAGTTGTACATTTATCATTGGCTGAACATTCTCCTTTTGTAACTCTCATTAAAAAGTTATGATCAGAAACAGAAATATAGTAGGAAATACACTGTATAAAAAAACATACTGTATTATAAATCATTACAATAAGATAGTGAAGACTCAGAATGTATAGATACAAGTACGAGCATCTACTGAGACCAAATGTTTTTTGCTTTCCTATAGAATCCGTTTGGATGGTTTCCACTCCAGCAAATCAGAGACTATAACACAGAACACTTTGAAAGGTAGGTCCACCTACATCTCTACTAGCTTATACGTCACTGAAATGAGTTTAATAAACCTAAAATAGTTGAGAGGCGCTTCATGCAATACCCATGCAAGCAGTGCCATCCTGAACTGGAAGAGGGATGAGGATCTTGTATCCAGCATTCTTCTACAGGAGTGCTGTCCTTTACCCAAGGTGAGTGAAAACTAGACAGCTGAATGGGATGGGGAGAGGGCCTGAATAGCATCCAATAACCAGCAAATGTTCTTTTCCCAAACCTCTCTCAGAGAAACGCTGCTTTGGTTGCTCTTTAGTTCCACCCCGTTATGGAAGGAAATAAAGCTATTTCTCTTGAAACATGCTGGACAAGAAATGTCAGAATGATTATTTAAAAGGAATTATTGATCTTGAATTTAATGGGCTTGAATATGTAATAAGCACATGCCACGAAAACGGCACC